AGTATTAAACCTGTGTTCTATCAGTTTTTTTTTCCTTTGTCAGTGAGTGTCTCTGTTATTTCCACTGGAATTTTGATTATATTCTTTTACAGACATTTCAACAAACAGCAAGAACTAAATAATTGATGGTAGTTAAAAATAGCAACAAAAAATATACACACAAAAGATATGAATAAAACAAGTTTAAAAGAAATACAAATAATATAAAAAATAGGCCGAGTTAAAACATTGAGTTGTATTCATTCAAAAGCCAAGAATTTAAAAGCTCCTTAAAAGTGTTGGGATTATGAGCAGCTCTAACACTTTATAGATCATCAGAGTTTTGGGACTGAAACTGAGAAGACACAGCTATCTCTACTAAGGAAACCCCTACAATAGACACTATGAATCCGTGGTTGATGGGATTTATGACCTTATATTGTCTGAAGATGGTCACATGCTTACAGCTCCTTCTTCTTTCTACGGCTGATGACATCACTGGTACTGAATGAAAACACCGGCTGCCATCAGTGGTGTTTTAATTTCCTTATGAGCCCTGTTCTGTGTAACTGCTGGAAAAGCAAAGCAAACACAGGGCAAGCTTGTGCCCTTTGGACACTTATGCTGTGGAATGCTCAACATGTTGGGAACAACTTGTCCATGTTTGGAAAAATCCCTACAGTGCCCCTCTTTGGTCATCTACTTCTGTATGTGCTCTGCTGGGTGATCTGTCCATTCTATTTATGCATGAATTAACAATATATTTTCCAACTAGCTGTTTTTTTTACTTATATTTGTCTATTTGTGCCCTTTTCTCAGCCTCACCTGTGGGGAACGGATACAGTAAACCTCCCAACCCCCCAGTCTGCTGTCTTCAGGGAGAGAAAGGTCCGCCAGCCATGATGCCCATCAGCATTGACCCAGAGAGCAGGCCTGGAGAATACGTCCTCAAGAGCCTCTTCGCAAATTTCACCTCAGTGTCTGAGCGGAAGATTCGTATTATCATGGCTGAGCCACTGGTCAGTATGATGATGTGGATGGTTACTGTTCCTGAGGTGCTGAATGCATCGTTTACATCTGTAGTTCAAAACACAAAGGAACACATTTGCATTGGGTTGTTATTAAGGATAAAAATCATCTATTTTTGTGGGCTTAAAGTTTTTAACAAAACCAACTTATTTTAATTGCTTATATACATAAGCAAAGACTATAAGCAGGAATCCCCTCTTCTCTTCAAATGTTTACCGTTAAATCCAGATATACTAGTTATTAAATCTTTGACCTTATTAATGTGTAACAACAACTCTATATACAGTACATATAGAAGCTACAGGAAGAAGATACATATGGTAGGTTTTCGTAAACCCTCACATGCAGCCAAATTTCAATAGGAGGCTGATATATTTGCTAAGTCACTTGTCACTTTTAGTTGCTGTTACTGTCTCCTTCTACCAGGGGCAGTTTTGGTTTTTTTGCATAAATGCTGCCCTGAGCCAGTCAGATTGTTTCCTCCATTCAAGCTAAATTCTATAAGTCATCAAAATTCTGGGTAGAATAAAATGCTTTGGGGACCTGCACATAAATATGGGGTGTCGTTTTAAAATTTAAGCAGTCAAAATTTAGGAGCAATATTTATGGTTATTTAGAGTGTTTTAAGACAAAAATAAGAAAAAAATTTTTTCACTGTCATTCATTCATTTATAAAAATCATAGTTTGTTAAATAAATATTTATTTTGGAGCTAAATACTTATTTAGAAAACTAAATATTTAGTTTGCAAAGTAAATATTTATCTCCAGACTATATATTCATTAAACCAAGTAAGATTTTTATAAATGAATTAATGATATAGTGAAAAAATCATTTTGAAAAAAATAACCCCCTTATCTCTTAAAGCACGCTAAATAACTGTAAATATGTCTCCTAATTTTTGACAGTTTAACTTTACAAATGGCACCCAATACAAAAATTGTAATAATTCCTCACGTAGCAAATAAGCCTTTTTCTTTTCTTGCAAATTTTAATCTCTACTTCATCAGAATTATTAGTAGGCCTAAATTTTATCATGACAAATATTTGAATTTATTTGTTTAAAAAGCAAGAAAAAGGCAACAAACAATATATTTTACAGTAGGAGGTTAAGATCTGTAAAACTCTAAAGAAACAATGTATTTTGCCCTAAAAAATTTAACAAGCAGATATTTAACCTAATAGGGAAAAAAATAAAACATGGTAGTGTGTGCAGCATTCCCTGTATTGCAGAAAGACAATTGGAGTTTGACTTAAATGTTAATGATTCTGCTCACATGTTTGCCCAGACAGACATGCATCCTCATTGATTCTAATCCCAAACACTGCAGATTAACTCATGCCTCTATATTGTTAAGTAACTACTGGAAAGCCATTTCCCATTTAAGGGAATATGACTTACAGGATGCTGTAAATCTGTGACCTTAGTCAGCATGAAAGTGTTAAATATCCAGTGAAAATGTGTAGTTCATCAACTGTTTGTAATACTCTCTGGAAGAGAGGAATGTAGAAAGGAGGTTTCCTCTCATTTTTCCTCTGACAAACTATCTGAATAATGAATTTTAGCCCATACTTTCTGACACTCTGTAATTTCCTGTTAATATTATCACTCAAGTAAATATTCCATATAAAAAAAACTTTAATACTCAGTGATCCGTAGATGTTAGTTATCACTGAACAGATACAATTATCCTTTCAACATGGACAATATCTTTAAGTGGATGTAAAAAAAAATAAGACCGTCCCTGACTGATGCTGATGGAGTAAAACACATCGACCTCTCTGTCACTCCAGGCTCTACCGCTACAAACATTTGTTGAAAAAGTAAAAGGTTCATCAGAGGTTGGGGCTTAGTGCTTGATCCAGCTAAGAGCAGAAGAGCAGGATATTGCCATCAACCCACGCAATGTCGGTGTCACACATATCAGGCTTTTAACTATTTTGGATTAATCCACAAGTAAAGTGCTCAGAACTGCTGTTTAGCTGATAAGATTCTATAGGGTTCATTCTGAATTTGAATTTGATTGTAGCATTTTCTAGTCTTGTCATGGTTTAATTTAATTCATTATTAGATAATAATGCCTTGCGAAGATATTTCCTTTGAAAGGTTTATCTTTTTGCAAATTGTAACTTTTTTTAAAGTGGAAAAATGTGGTCTTTACTTTTTTTTTTTTTTACAGCCCCCTGGGTTGCAGTTACAGACTTTTGTTTTGTGGAGTATAACTTAATAAAGTTTACATTAAAAAAATTAAAAATTAAAAATCCTTTCATGCTATATTCTTAACAAGGACATGTTAGTTAGGTTAGATTAAATCAAAACATCTGTAATGCAATAAATTCTAAGGTGGATTTAGGTCCAGACTTTGAGTAGGCCAATTTAAAATATGCACACTATTTTTATGTTTGACCGCTTAAAACCATGACTGGGTCTCTGCTCACTTCATAATTATGCATATCCTTGGATTGGTCGGTAAAATCCTCTTAACACAAAAGTTTATGGTTGCTGTTTTAAAACAAGGTGTAACTGGATATAAACATCTGGATAAACCACTGGATAAACATCAGAATAAGAAAGGTGTTTAGTTCATTTTCCATCTGATTAAAAACGGTCCCACCTTTTATGCAACCAGTACTGATGAATGGCTCTGTCTCTGTATTTGCTGTTATGCGTTCAAAATGATCTCCTTGTCCTTTTCTGACCAGTCATCTGAATTAAGAAGCTTCAAACAAAAACTTTATAAATGTCTATTTTTTGTCTCTTTTATTAAAATTCTGAGCTGTAATTGAATTATTTCTTCCTTTTAGGAAAAACCATTATCAAAGTCACTACAACGGGGAGAAGATCCTCAATTTGATCAGGTAAGTCCTGAGAAACGCTTAACTAAAAGGGCTTGTTTTACCTATATATTATGTGGGGTTTTACTTTTATTTCACACGGGAACAAAAATGAATACGTAGTTGCGTTTGGTGCACCTTTGTACGCTTTGGGTCGATTTTCACATCTATAATATAACTTTGCAATGTTCAAGATGTTGGGTGAAAACCTGCTCCTATCTCTAAAGGTCTTTCAGATTCGGTCAGGGGGTACGAGTGTTTACCTTGTGACTTGGCTCATACTGAGCACAAGGTGTGTCCTGCAGGTTTGTGGCTTTGCAGAGGAGGCCTTTTCAGAGCCACAGAGGTGTGTTTGTGCTGCTGCATGAGGCAGCTCAGCAGCATTACAGAGCCTGGATTCTTCTGTAGCCTGGTGCTGAATGAAGGGATTGCTGTGTTCCCCCCAATCCAACCAGACTCTCCTCCCTTCCTGTGTGCCCGGCCTGTTCCTTCCTTTACTGGCACCTCCTCCAACATTAAGGGAGGCTGCCCCATGGGTATGGTCCCACAGAGGATCAGCTCACCCAGTGATCTCATTTCATTCCTTTCATTTAGTCCTAAAAGCTCCCTATTTTAGTTACACTCCATTTAATTTGTAAATGCTTGAATCATAATGAGATTCAAATAAAACTATGGTCTGTGCTGGAGTTCTAGCTTAAATTGCTGCACAAATAAACAAAGGAAGCTCTGATTGCTATCTTTTGCTTTGGTATGTTAACTGCTGACAGTAATGTGCATTTGCACCATCTATGTCTTGTTCCTCTAGTTGATAAGCACCATGAGCTCACTGGCTGAGTACAGTCTTCCCTCCATCCTGCGCACTTTGTTTGACTGGTACAAAAGACAAAATGGGCTTGAAGAAGAGCTGCATGAATACCGACCAAGAGCCAACACAAAGTCTAAAAAGTAAGATAGAAAAAGTGGATAGATGAAATCATGCTTGTCATTATTAATTTCTTTTTTTTTTTTTTTTTTGCTCTTTTTATAACCTTAAACAAACTGTGATTTTCCAACAGTGATGAGCAGCACAGAGATTATCTACTTGAAAGGAGAGATTTGGCCATTGACTTCATCTTCTCCCTTGTACTTATAGAAGTTTTGAAACAGGTCACTTTCATTCCATCTTATGTCACAAAATAACTAGATTGATATTTTTATTTTTTTTAATGTCTAAATCTTTCACCATCATTCTGTTGTTTTCTAATTCTGAAATAGATGCCACTCTATCCTGCCCTTGATGGATTGGTCAATGAAGTCATAAACTTGGCCTTTAGGCACTTTCGATACAAAGAAGGGTAAGATCTAAATTCTTGTATCGGTAGGTCAAACATATTTTATTCTATTGTTGTGAGATCCACAGTGCAGAGATGATTTACTTACATCTTGAACAATTTCACATTTGACTCAGTAACAAAAAGCTTTCATGTTTTTCCTTGAGATTTTATGTAATTGCAGTAAATCAAAAATTATCACCATGTAATTAAAATGTTTGGACTTATCTGTGCAGGGTTTTCTGTCCTTTCAGCTAGCTTTGCTTAGGATATATTGACAACAGAAAGGTATTTTGGTCCTTTAGTTTTATTCTTACCAAAGTCTCTCTACCAAAGCCACTAAATGAGGAAGAAAGCCCTGGAAATTGAGGAAAACTTTAGCCCTGCATTTTGCACCTCTGTTATTTGTGATGTTATTCCAGCTGCAACATCAGAATCAGGCTCGTATTTGGATTCAGCTTTAATCAACAGGTTTGTGTGCAGAAACAAGGAATTTGACTTCAGTTTTCAAATGCCAACACCATAAGGAACAGAACCAACAATAACCACACTTTGTTTGAAAAGAAAAAAAAAATTCAAAGGGGGCAGGGACATGATAAAAACAAGGACAAAAGTAGAAAGAGCATTTTATTTTATTAAGACATAAAAATGCTGATAGTAATGGTACAAAAAGACTTAAAAATTGTTTCTAGCAAGAGTCCTTGACTACCCTGGCTGTGAGGTATTTATTGAGTTTAAAAGAGAATCAGTCTGGAAAGAAGCTTCTTTTGTGTCAGTTTGTTTTTGCCATTAGCGCTCTGTAGCATTCCCCTGAAGATAACAGTTTAAATCACCTCTGACTAGGATGTGTGCGGTAAGCAATATGTTATTTGCTCTTTTGTTGGCCCTAGACCTGTACCATTATTGGATAAATGGAAGGTCAGTCCATATGATCCTCTGCAGACATTATTGTTTCTTGCAGTTTTGATCTGTAGTTCTAATTATGGAACAACATGTTGCATTCAGCAAGCTGAAGACAACAATGTGCTATGTGTGTCCTGAGTCATAGTGTGCAGGCAGCAGTATTGCTAAGCAACATATAACTTTTGTAGGTATAACTTTCTAACATTATCACTACACGGCCTGCTACGGTGGCTTGTTAAGTCCAAAAAGGAATATGTTTCCTGGTGTTAGGTTACATTGAAGCCAGTTCATATTCATACCAGAAGATGATTGCACCAGAGTCTGTTTGGAAATAGAGCAAAGTCATCTAAAAAAAGTGGGTGTTGGTCCAGGTGTTTTGTCTGAACCAAGGGGAGAAACAACCATCAATACATTTCCAACCTGAGGTGCAGACCTCAATGGCTTCTCCAAAGCTACCATGAGCTTCTAGGCAGCATCTTTAATAAATGTTTTAAATTTTCTGTTAGTATAGTTGGATGGCCTTCACTTAACTCTCTTTATTGAAGTATGTGACTTCTGAATGCAGCAGGTTATGCTGCACTGGTGAAGACTGTGAAGACTTTGAATTTCTTACCTTGGAAATTGCCAAGATATGCATGCTGAACTTTTCAGATTCTATTCATCTAGTCTGTAAAATTAATCATTTTCCCTCCACTAAACAGCTCTGTTCCACCCTTTGATATATTACATTAATACCCAGTAACATACATGAAATCTTATGGTGTGTAATTGAATACTTTTCAGTCATCTAACTTATCTTGAATTTGTCACCCACAGATATCATGGTCCTAACACTGGAAACATGCACACTGTAGCGGACCTTTATGCTGAAGTCATAGGAGTGTTGGCCCAATCCAAGTAAGCAGCAAATTTTCAGCTTTCATTTTTTGATTTTACATTTTAAGTCTCTGCTTATGGACCTAGAGAGTTACTGAAAAAGAAAACCAAACTTTTTAAATGAAGGTTTCAAATTAGGCAATTTGAAATCAAGGCATTTTCTAATACTGCAGTTTAAATTTAAATATTAAAGATGAATTGTAAATTGCGGAACATGAAATAAAATGGAAATGGAATAAGGAATAACCTTTTTAATTGCGTGATTAGGAAAGGTATTTTTAATAAGAATTATGAATTTTGGTATTTAATAATGGATGAATAAATACATTTTGTTTAAAGTGGCGTCAGATGTAGGGGTTTGCCCTCTAATCGAAGGGTTGATGGTTCAAGCTACGGCTCTGGCTTTCAGTGTCGTTGTGTTCTTGGGAAAGACACTTCACCCACATTGCCTACTGATAGTGGTGCCAGTGTACAGCAGGATCAGAACCCCAGGGCATCTGTTGCTATAATGTAGCTTGCCACCATCAGTGTGTGTGTGGAGGACTTAATGTAGTGTAAAGCGCTTTAAGGGTTTTGCTGGTATGCTTCTGCACCGTCGGTCTGGAATTTCAAAGGACGCATTAGTTTCTTGCCAAAGTGCAAAGGGAGCCCATTCACGAACTAGAGAGAACTTTGTTTTGGCAGAGACCTTGGCATCTTTGCACAATTTGTCCGAGGCATCGTACAAGTGGTTGTACTTCCGAAAATCAATTAACCTTTCGTCGTAGTTGTCCATTGTAGTTGTTCCTCGGGTTTTAAAAATGGCGCACCGAATCGAGAAGGACGACCACACAGACAGCCGGAAATGCATACCAAGGACCAATCAAAGCTTGTTTTTGTCTGTGGACTTCCACTTGAGGTCTGCGCGGGTTTATGACCATCTGACGCGTTGTCAGGATTTTTTTTAGGTGCGCGATGACGGTTGCAGAACCTCTGCGGGGTGTGGTGCGCACAGAAACAGATTTGATGGTTGCAGAGGCTATGCATCAGAGGCAAAAATTGGCCTTTAGTCAACTCTCCTGACTTGAAAAAGCGCTAGATAAATACAGACCATTTACCATTAACAATTTCTCCTAATTCAAAATATGAAATTAGAAAATGCCTTTGCAAATCTGATTTCAATTTGGCTGATTTAAATGTTTAATTTTAAAAGGTTAGTTTTCTTTTTCAGTGGCTCAATAGGTCCTCATTATATGTGCTTTATTAATGTGTAATGTCAACTAAAATGGTTGCGTGAGGACTTCTTGAAAAGTGACAGATTTATAAGTCTGTGTATAAGACACTTTCAGACATGACATCTTAATGTCAAACTAGGATTGGAAATTTATGTGTTTATCCAAACTTGTAGAATCACTGCATCAGCGAGAATCACTTATAATAGAGATATGAGTTACATGCCTCCTTTCAAACTATGCCCTGCTTAATTATTCCTGTTGTAATTTCTTCTTTTTTGCTGGGGGAGAAATTCATTTCGGGGGACAGATTTGCTGTCTGTATGTTAATGATCTGCAGCCTAAACTCTATTTATTTTTGTTTTCATTAAAACTCTTTGCTTTACTTATATTTTTTTTTATTGGCAGTGCATGATTCTTTACATTGTGTTTATACAATAATTTCCTTTAAGATTTCCCGCAGTAAAAAAGAAGTTTATGACTGAGCTGAAGGAGCTGCGGCAGAAAGAGCAAAGTCCATATGTCATTCAGAGCACCATCAGTCTCATCATGGGGGTCAAGTTCTTCCGGGTGAAAATGTATCCGGTCGAAGACTTTGAAGCTTCTTTTCAGTTCATGCAGGTACAGCAGAATTTGCGGTGTGAGTTCCTCAAATAGCTAAAAAGTCTCCTACTTCCCTCTCTGTACAGTTTTTTCCCCATGTGTTGGTATTGCCTTTTTAATTCTTTTAATGTCTGTCAGTCTAAAAGTTTTGGAAATTGTTTTAACTGAGAAAGCTTTTTTAAATTCTATAAATCTGAAAGCTGTTTCTCTCTTGTTTACAGGAGTGTGCCCAGTATTTTCTAGAAGTGAAGGATAAGGACATTAAACATGCTCTGGCTGGTGTCTTCGTGGAGATCCTGGTGCCTGTTGCTGCTGTAAGTTTCTTCATCATGTAGCTGATACAGTTATTACACAATCATTTTCAGCCCACTATTCACATGCTCAGTCAAATGCGTCATCATACTTGCATGTGCTTATTGAAATTCATGATCTGAAAACCTTAAGAAGCCAGAAAAAAACTTTTAATGTTTTAATGTATTTTTCTGTTTTAAATAAATCATGACTAATACTCTTATTGGCACATCCGGTATTTCCCCTAATAAATGTAGCTGCAGCATTTTGTTGCCCATACTTCTTTAAAAGTTACTTTTTTTTTTTTTTTTTAAGATTTGTCTTATTGACAGAAGCTTTTAAAAGATATTTATGGTGTATAGCAAGGATTTACAGTTATACTGAAAATGTGTATTTTATAAAGCAAACTTATTAATATGTAGTCTTACAAACACACCATACAAGGAAGATGATTTTTTTTTAACACCAAAAGAAAACAAAGAAACAAAATATAACAAACTTTACCCCTCCCACCCCCCACCCTTCTTTCTCGTATGGTTCACAACAAAACTGTCTGTGTTCTAACATTGCTTTACACATAAGAAGATATTCAACTGTGGCTATTTTGAAAACTACCCTGTTTATTTAACATGGTATTTTTTTGACCAATTAATAGATGAGTTTCATGGGAGATTGTGCTACTGTAATAAGATTTATTTTCGTTTTGGGCGGAGTGTGGTGAAAAAGTTGATGTTTCCCTAATTGTAATTTCTGTTTTGATCTTGACCTAGGCTGTGAAAAACGAAGTAAATGTACCCTGTCTGAGGAACTTTGTGGACAGCCTGTACGACTTAACTCTGGATCTGTCTTCAAGAAAGAAGCACTCACTGGTTAGTAACAGAGCTGCCAGCAGTCACTGACTCTTTGGTCTGCTGTTTTTTGAGGCCTTTGGTTTCAGCTGCCTCTACTGCACAGTGGCACAGACATATGAAGAGCTATGCATGTAGCTTGGTGTAATATTATTTCATAATGTGTTTACACTATGAGTGATTTATTCTGTACAATTAAAAATGTCATTAATCTCAAGGTAAGCGATTGTATGAGAGTATGAAAAAGCTATGAAAGCTGGCCTGTGTGCTATTAAATTTTAAAATCTGAACCCCTTAGCACATTTCAGTGCATGGACAATTCAAAGTGCAATGAATTAGATAATAAAATATAAGAAAAATAAAAGCACAAGAACAATTAAAACAAACAAAAAAATATAAATAAAAAAAAAAAATAAAAAAAAAATAAAAAAGTGGCATCATTTATGTAGCACATCAGAGGAAAAGTGCAACGTCTTCATGAAAATAAAATTCAAAATTCAATAATGCAAATGCATTTTTTAGATGTATATTTTCTTAAGTTGTTAATGAAAGTCATAATTTCTAAACTTTATTCCTGATGTTACAGAGTTTTGAGGGTTTTGTTTTATTAAAGCAGTTTTTAAGAAGGCAGTTCAAAATCTAAACTCAGTTTTTCTTCTGTTCAGGCCTTTTATCCACTGGTCACCTGTCTGTTGTGTGTCAGTCAGAAGCAGTTCTTCCTTAACAGATGGCACGTCTTCCTCAATAACTGCCTTTCAAATCTCAAGGTAAGATTTTGCCAGTTCTTGTTATTGTAATAAAATGGAGGTTCTGTGTCCTTTCTTCAAATTGATCCTTTTACTGGATACCTTTAAATACAATAGGCATGCAGGAGTAATTTGTGACCAACTAAGTTTAAGGTCACTGCAAATTTTTGGTCAAGGTTTTACAGCAACTTTGTTTCTTTTATCTTACAGAGTAGAGATCCTAAAATGGCTCGTGTTGCTCTGGAGTCACTGTATCGCCTGCTGTGGGTTTACATGATCAGAATAAAGTGTGAAAGCAACACTGCAACCCAAGGGTAAATATATTAACTATTTCTTTTTTTGAAATTCTTATCTTATTATGTATCAGTATCAACATTTTAATCACTTTATAATATACTCAGGTCTCAGTAATCAGATTTTGCATCTCAGTTATGCTATTTTCTTGTATAGCATTTAAAGTATTATGCCTAATAAATAAGTGTCTAAAGCTTACCCCAAGAAAGAAACATATATTAAGGGTATAAATCTCTCAAATAGATGCTATAAAGATTGAATCACAAGCACCAAATACAAATTCATGGCACACATCTATCTATAACATTCAGAGATTCAAAAACATGTTTGTTTTGATATGAAAATGTTAAACTGTTCAAAGCACAAAAATACTGTCAATATTTTAGGTTAAAAGTCCACAAAGAGAAAGTTTAATGATTTCTTAAAGGTTTTTGATCTACCTTTTTTTTGTCTTTTCTGTCTTTTAACACTATTGCTATCCTAATAAAACAACTTTTCTGTGTTCGCAGTCGTCTGAACACCATCGTAACAACTCTTTTCCCTAAAGGGTCTCGCAGTGTGGTGCCCAGAGACATGCCTCTCAATATATTTGTAAAAATCATTCAGTTTATTGCACAGGTAAATCTTCCACCAAATGTTAAGCTGACTGACACTAACATTAGGGTCTGTGAGATAAGGGATTTTTCTACTATTTTAATGCAGGAAAGATTGGATTTTGCAATGAAAGAAATTATCTTTGACCTTCTCTGTGTTGGCAAACCTGCAAAAGCCTTCAGTCTTATTCCTGAGGTATGTTATCTACTTTATCATTGAAATAGTTTTCAAACTCCAAATAATATTTATCATGATTATGTAACATTTTAACATGATGAAAATAATAATTGAAAGCTGGACTTTCTTTTTTATAATGAAATGTTTTAAACTTATGTTTCCACCCTAAGAAGGTGGATGTTCCTAAATGAGGGAGATAAATTACATAAGAAATGATTATTAATACAACTCTTTCTATTTGTGTTTGGTGATTTCCTGTAGCTTCCTATAATGTGTTCTCTTTGTCTATTCAGAGGATGAATATTGGTCTAAGAGCATTTCTGGTCATAGCTGACAAACTGCAGCAGAAGGATGGGGAGCCTCCCATGCCAAACACTGGTAGCTTGTTGCCCTCTGGTAACACGCTTAGAGTGAAGAAAACATACCTGAGCAAAACCCTAACGGATGAGGAGGCCAAAGTCATTGGTGAGATAGAAAAACTATTATTAGGAACATTTTATAGGAGTTTTTATCTACAGTATATTGACCAGAAATGTCAAAACGTGGACACAGAAAATATTTTTCAGTATCATGAAGGGATGCATTGTTTCCTGTAAGGCTCTTCTTATACTGTTCAGCTCATTACTATAGAAAATGATCACATATCAGGGTTGCATTCAAATCATTTTTCTCCAGTAGTTCTTTTCCTAATTAAAAGGGAAAAATAAATGCATTATGCATTTTCTCTACAATATGTTAGCAGTCTTTGGCAGCACTCAAACCCCTTAGCATATTCTCATTAAAGGTCCCATGTTATGCAAAATTCACATTATAGACATTTTGTAACCATCATATGTATCCTAAAGCCTGTGTGTGACGGTCACAAATGAAAAAAATCCCTTTCACATCTATCATTCTTTTTATCCACCTTTTACCTAATGTGTGCTTAATAAGCTGTTTAACAAGCCATCCCCTTATGATGTCATAATGGGAAATAAACTGTCACGAGCAGTCTGTAGCAGCCCATCAGTCAAGCTACTACCTTTATCCGATGTATTATTTGGCACTTATAGCTGCTACATTTATGAACTATGACTGGTTGCCATGGTAGCAAGTTGTGGGTTTAAATACACAATTGTAAATCCACAGCTTTAAATCCAGGTGGTATATTCCAGAAAGAAATCTAATTATTTAATTGGTATGAAAGGTTTTTTTTTTTGGCGCAAAAATTTACATTTGCAAATATTATATGTTATCTGGTTTGATTTTCATTTATCCATTTACAAAGGCTGAAGACAATTTTTTTTTTATAGTCAGTAGCTAGACGACAATTATATTTATATTTTTATATTTTTATTTTCATTTTTTTGTCTCTTTTCCTGAAATTATCTCCAAGCTTAAGATATTTTTTTTCTTAGAATAGAAACTTCTAAGTACCGTACATTTCTCTAACTTCCATCTTCTGCAGGGATGTCCCAGTATTATGTTCATGTGCGGAAAGCAATTGACAGCATTTTAAGACACCTTGATAAGGAGGTGGGGCGCTGCATGATGATGACAAATGCTCAGATGTTGAATAAGGAGCCAGAAGACATGATCACGTAAGAAATCAGATTAGATTTAATGTCAGCATCATAAACTACTACTCTATAATCACTTATTATTATTATTATTATTATTATTTTTTTTGTATCTGATCAGTTTTGACAACAAAAGAAAATGAAAACCAGCCTAATATGTTGAATTTGACATTTCAGAGGTGAAAGGAAGCCGAAGATAGACTTGTTTAGGACATGTGTTGCTGCTATTCCTCGCATCCTGCCTGATGGGATGTCTAAACCTGAGCTAATCGACTTGCTCTCTCGGTAAGTCACACATCTTTTTGCAGAAAAAGCTCAGAAATTTTAATTTACCTTATCTGGGGGTTTATTACCAGGAGCTATCAAATGTTAAATAAATAAAGAGTCATACAGTTTGTCCGAAGGGTTGCTTTAAAAATGTCTGGAGACTAAAAAAATAAAAATCCTTTTGTACTGTAGTCTTTTGGCTACAGAATATGTTGCAGGTTTCCATTGGCAGTAGAGTTTGTAAATCAGGGAACTTATTCATATTTCTTCATAAAAGATATCAAACTTATGGTACTGGTGTTATTGCCCTTCAGCCAGGGTAAATGTTAAACTGATTGAATGGTCTGACCAAATTAACTTTTGGATTTTCTTTATTTTGTTTTTCAGGTTAACAATCCACATGGATGATGAGCTTCGCCTCATAGCCCAGAACTCCCTCCAAAGTCTGCTGGTGGATTTTAATGACTGGCGTGACGATGTTCTGTTTGGATTTACTAATTTCCTCCTGCGTGAAGTCCAAGACACCCATCAGGGATTGTTGGATATGTCCCTCAAATTATTGCTGCAGCTTCTCACACAGTGGAGGATAACACTGGCTTCTCCAGGAAAGAGCCATGACCTATCAAAGCTTCACGCTGCTGAGGTGATTTGTAGTTTCTTCAATGATCAAAGGGGTTATCTTCGTTAACTAAAGCTGATGCTTGACTATGCTCCTGTTCTGGATACTTTGAAAAAAAAATTTTCATGAAACGAAGTAGTTCACTTTGTTTTATTTGTTACAGCCTCTTAATTCTTGCCCGGGTCATAAAACACCAGCAGAAAGAGGTCCTCACTCTACTGTGCTGCATGCTGTGGAGGGACTGGCACTCGTACTGCTCTGCTCCTGCCAGCTTAGCACCCGCAGAGTCGCCATCGCAATACTTAAAGAGATACGAAGTCTCTACATGACCATCGGACAGTCCGAGGTAATTCCAAGACAAATCCAAACTGCACAAGAAAAGGATAAAATGTAGTAATGTTAAATTCCTTATCTTGAGATTCTGGTTTTATGTTTTGCAAACTGCAGGATGATGAAAAGCCAATGATAGAGATCATGGATCAGCTCAGCCCTGTTATCATGGAGAATTTTATCAACGTAGCTGTCTCTGATACAGTAAGTTCTTTCTGCAACTCAACTTTAGCGCCGTTGAACAAGGAGACTATTTTGTTTTGATTTGTTTTTGCTTAGCCAATCCTGGTCTATGAATTATACAAACACTTTGATAATCTATCTGCATCGACCAGTAATTTTTCAAGCCACTATTGTCTGTCAGTCTCCTTGTTTACCCGGTATATACTTGTTTCACTTGTTCACCCCTGACCTTTGCCCCTGCCGTGTCACTGGTTTGTTGCAGGCAACACTGCCAGTTGGCCACCACGTGGACCTACAGGGCCTGGTGGAGTGGAATGCCTCGCTTGTCAACAGCCAGTATGACATCATGAGTCCCTCGCACGTGTGGCTCCTTGCCCAGTCTGTGAAGGACCCCTGGGTGCTGTGTGTGTACAGCCTCCTTCGGCAGGACAAACTTCCAAAGCACTGCCCCACAGCTCTTAGCTATGCCTGGCCCTATGCCTTCACTCGACTGCAGATGCTCATGCCCCTGGTTGACCCAAAGTGAGTGTCCTCAATTTTAGCTTTAAATTCAAAAAGTTTTTTTTTTCCTTTTGCTATATTCCTAGCATTGTCCTGTAAAACACACAACTGGTATAATTTCTCACTGATTTTGATTTATCAATTTAAAAAATCAACAGCAGTCCAATGAATGCAAAGAAGACTGTCCCCTCTGGAAGTGGGGACAACTATGTAACCTTATGGAGAAACTACCTGATTCTTTGCTTTGGCGTGGCCAAGCCCAGTATCATGAGCCCCGGCCATCTGAGAGCATCGACACCTGAGATCATGACTTCCACGCCTGACAGCTCTGTCAGCCACGATAACAAGGTAGCTGTTGCTTCATCGTTATGCCTTAATAATTCCCTCAGTTCAGGGATCAGGTGTCAACACTGAGCTTGTTGACATTCACACTGAGTGCATTGAATTACACTGCTGGGGTAAAACAGGAAGCTGGTGCATTATTAACTCTGTGTTTATTTGAGTTTAGCCTCGGCTAATTAGTGCTGCTCAAGCTGCATGTGAGATTTTAATTGTGTTACCTAACAATGGCTGTTTTGATGTTTCAGGTTATTGGAAGTCCATCTGTGGCTTGGCTCCTAAAGCAGCTGGTCCCACTGATGAGAACAGAGAGCCTTGACCTGACAGAGTCATTAGTTCTGGGCTTTGGTCAGACAAATCTATTAGTATTCAGGTAAATCAAGAATCTGTGTCTTTTATTATATTTTCTTACAAATTGTACTTGGACATTTAAAATGTCAAGGCATAAACATATTTAAAATCTTATGATTGAATCTCAGATTTCATGAAGAGTTCTTGTCAGAAGTAACATTAAATGACTGTGATACCCTCGTTTTTAAGTTATCTCTGATATAATATTGATACAAAGATCAAGTGGTCTATTTCACATTTGAACTTGTTTTAGCATTAAATGTTTAGTGTGGCAAATGCAGTGACGGTGAGCATTGATTAAACAGAGTTGTTTTGCCCTTGGGCCTTCTGACCGCTTTGACTGCTGCTGGTGCGGCAGCAGTTCTATTGTGTCCCAGGATGGCTGTGGGTACAATAGGCCTTACCTCCAGAGTGTGAATGGATGAATGGAGTCAGAAGATTAAACGCAAAAACATCACAATCCCATATGTTGCTGGAGTCTCTGAAAAATCCTGGTTCATTTCAAAGCTAACAAGACCCTAAGACAGAGACTGGTGCATCCATAGGACAAAACCCCCAAACCTAAGATGAGCCAGTGCTGTTTGCAGTTCAGTGCAGTGAGGAATGCTCTATTCTTTAATTGGAGAAACCAAACATCCTCTCCACAGACACATGACTTAATACAGCCTACCTCCTCCGGACAAGACTCTGCTGTCCAGCTGCACCTTAAGGACAAAGGACACCTGTCTGAGGACCAGAATGTTCAAATTTTTGGACAAAGAAGACAGGTGGTTTGAAAGGGGTGTAAAGGAAGCCATTTACGTTAAGAGAGAAAAACCAGCCTTAAACAGAGGGTTTGGTTTCAGCTCTCAAAAACCTACAATACAGTGAAAGAGATGATTCCTTCCCGCTTTCATCTCAAGCCTCATCGCCATGCAGGTAGTCAAAACATCGCTCCTGTAAGCCAGGCCAACAGTGAGCTTAATGACTCCCCATTACAAAGGGGTGGACCTGTTTTCAGTTCAGTTTGCATGTTTTCTAGGTGATAACAAGGCTTTTGATAGGAAATTCTAAAAAGCCTGGAGCTCAGATCTACTCCAGACATTTTGAATTGAGAAAGTTTGGGTGAATTTAGTGTTAAGCCCTTTGGGGTCCTCAGACTTAATAGATCATACTTGATAATTGTATAGCACCTTTTCAGGGCAATGAGTTCTATAGGACTTTGTACTACATTCAGTCATTCACATACAGCTGGTGGTAAGCTACACTGTTGCCACAGCTGCCCGGGGCACAATGATAGAAGTTTGCCTGCCACATACAGACCACCAAAACCCAGTAGGCAATGCAGTTAAATCGTTTTGCCCAAGGACTATGACAGATGGAGCTTAGGTTCAAACCAACTACTCTCCTGTTGCAGAACAAACTGTACAGTACAGGCTATCTACCATACAACAATTTTGAAATGGATAAAGCTTTATAGCAGACAAGTGCTGAAAAGTTGCACAAAAAAAAGTTTGCCATTCTCTTTAAGACATGATGATATTGCAAAGGGTTTTTTTTTTTTCATTGCCTGAAAGAACTGTATTTTCAATAGCCTCTCGCATCTGCTTGTGACCTTTTAATTAATTTTGTGATACTGAAAGCAGCTGATATATATATATATATATATAATATATATATATATATATATACATATTTTTTTTTTCTTTTCTTTTCATTGAGTAACAGAATCCTGTTTGAAACCACAGCATAGCAACACGTATCATTATGCATGCATGCATGAGTTTCCAACCTGACGGTCACAGGTCTGATCCAAAAAAAAAAAAAAAAGAGTCACTACACAATTTTTTGTTTCACATTTAATCAAAGGCCTTTAGAGCTTTTTGGAATTATTAAGTAAACTGATGAAAATGGAATAGATTCAATTATTTTAATTAAAATCTGCACTGACCTACATTTTTGTATGGATTTAAATTGGAGTCAAAACAGAGGATTAAATCTGAGTAATGCTTCATAACCATTTAAATTTGTAGTTACATTGTTTCCTAGAGCTCACATTATAAATCTGGAATCCATTTCTGAGAAAAAGAAAAATTTCGAAGATAATTGTTTGTCTTTTTCACACAGGGAGCTTGTGGAGGAGTTACATCCACTCATGAAAGAGGCACTAGAAAGAAGACCTGAGGTTTGTTGGTCATAATGTTAAGCCAGTGCGTTCATATTCCTCATTAGAGGCCTTTGTTTGAAATAATCTGCAGTGCTAATGTATTAAAGCTGTTGTGAGCCTTAAAGTTATATTCATACATGACCATTTGGCAGAACAAGAAGCGGCGTGAGCGGCGAGACTTGCTGAGACTGCAGTTGCTTCGCATCTTTGAGCTTTTGGCTGATGCTGGTGTTATCAGTGACAGGTTTGTATGGCAGCAGCTGAAACTTGTTTACCACGATGACTGTGAGAGGTCCTCAGTATCTTTTTATTCACTAATCCTGCAGCACAAATGGAGCACTGGAACGCGACACCCTTGCCCTCGGTGCTCTTTTCCTGGAATATGTAGATCTAACTCGGATGCTACTTGAAGGTGAAAATGATAAAGAGGCAGAGATCCTAAAGGACATCCGAGCACACTTTAGTGCAATGGTGGCCAATTTCATCCAGTGTGTACCAGGTATTATTACACTTACTTTCAAAATATAAGGCATAAGCACCTCTGGCCTCATTGAAACTCTTTGTCACAGCATTACCATTCAGCTCAGCCCAAAGGCACACACAACACTCTAATCTTAGCACTGCACTTGACTTGGACTCTGTTGGGAGTAAGTCCAAAAATAGTACAGCTTTAAGACACCAAGAGGCAAAAGCAGATGATGACTCATGGGTTGCCATGGATGCAGATCTCAAAGGGATTGCTAATGGATTGTTATAGCATCTTTCTGTTATACAAAACTCCTACTACAGCAGCTTTTCATGATGCATGGGTTGGTTTGCTGACTATACATCTTATTAAACAGCTGATTGTTTTGTTTTTTGTTTTTCCTGTAGTGCACCAAAGGCGATTCCTGTTTCCACAACAGAGCCTTCGGCATCACCTCTTTATCCTCTTCAGCCAGTGGGCAGGCCCCTTTAGCATCATGTTCACCCCTCTGGACCGCTACAGTGACAGAAATCATCAGATAACGAGATATCAGTATTGTGCTTTGAAGGTAAATGATATCTGAGCTTTCAACCTGATTTGTTTTAGTTCATTGACTATTTTATCTATTTAGTAAAGTTTTCTGACATTATGTTTACAAAAATGTAGGAAAATAAAATCTGTATGTTGGTTTAAGGTCAGCTAAGTCAGGATGATGAAACATGATTAAACAGTGAGCTAAGTTTGTCGGTGTTGTGTTTGTTTCTGCAGGCCATGTCTGCTGTTCTCTGCTGTGGTCCTGTCTTTGATAACGTTGGCCTTTCTCAAGACGGATATCTTTATAAGTGGCTGGATAATATACTGGCCTGCCAGGATCAGAGGGTCTGTAGCCAACACTTAACCACTGTGGTGCATTTAAAAAAAAGAGCTGACCCACCAAATAGCATGCTCTAGCCAGTCCTGAAAGGCCAGCTCTTCCTTTTGCCAACTTTCTACAGAAATCTTGCATAAAAGCTATGATGATGGCATTCTTGTTATCTGTATTACCTTTAAAAGCATGTAAAAAACACTGTTTGTTTTTCTTTTAACTTTCTTTAGTAAATGTGTTATGTAAGTTCAACAAAATTTCAACAATAGTTGTTGAAATGCATTGTAATTGATACATGTTTTTGTTACAAAACCTCAAATTATTTACGAAATACTTGAATAATTCACATTAGCCCTCATAAAATAAGTTCACCTTGTAAATGTGTCTTCTCTCTGCTTTGGGCTCAGGTCCATCAGCTAGGCTGTGAAGTTGTCATCTTGCTATTGGAGCTAAACTCGGACCAGGTTAACCTTTTCAACTGGGCCGTGGATCGCTGCTACACCGGCTCCCACAAGCTTGCCTCGGGTTGCTTTAAAGCAATTGCAACAGTTTTAGCCAGCAGGTATAAACAATTTCAAACTTTGTTATCGACTGTTTGGATTATCTGAAATATTTAGACAAACTGTGTCCACAAATTAAGTCGAGTGTCAAACCTTTACTAATATAATCCTTGTTGAATTTCAATTTTATTGCAACAGCTTTGATATGTCAAAGAAACACTAAATCAAAGATAACAGAAAGCCAAAAGATTTTTTCAAAGCATATTTATTTTTGGATCCTCTCTTTATTCTTTTAAGCAAAAACTACCCATGTGACATTGTTACACTGCTGAATCTGGTCCTCTTTGAAGGATCTAGCACCAACAGGCAACTCTATGAGATTGCAATGCAGCTTATGCAGGTGAGAAATATAACAACTACTTGTTAAGTGCTAATAGTTTGAATGTTCACATGTATGATTATTTAAACACCCATTTTTTAGAAATAGTTTAGAGGTCTAGCTTTGAAGTCCTTTCAATTACTCATTTATTTCTGTTTAACAGGTCAGACTACATATTTAACAGAACTCTAAGAGTTCTTCCAAAAGAATAATCACAAATATGAATTTGAACTTTAAAGACTTCTTGACTATTCTATTTTACAGATTCTTGAAGATAAGTTATTCATGTACTCTAAGAAGATTGCAGAGCTGAAACCAACTAACATCCTGTATGGCACCCATGGTCCATTGCCTCCTCTCTACAGTCTATCACTACCACAACTCTCTGCTCAGCTAGCTAGGATGTATCCTGAGCTCACGCTTCCCTTGTTTTCAGGTAGCTGGAGCTTTATTAATAAATGTATTATGATGATGATTATCATTGTGCATGTATTTATAAATGCACTATAGTGGCTGACAGTGCAAGCATAAAATGCATAGTAAGAAAAATAGATCTGCTGTACAAAGGATACCAAATGGGAATACAGATCTTAAATCAAATCTATTAGCTATCCTGAACAAGTGTAATATAAAGATTATTAAGCAGTTGATGATACAAAGGTATGGTAAGTTACACAGGTGGGGAGCTGAACAGCTAAGATCTTTACTTGCTAAATTTAAAGGGCAGTTAGAAGATGGATCTGAGAGAACCGGAGGGTTTATTGTATTGATGTCAATCATTCAGAAATTTGATATAGCAGGACGGAGAAGATGAGGGAAGAGGGGTTGTTTTCATCTATATTGCAATGGGAACTTATCTTAATTAATATCACAACTTATTTCAAAGAGGAAGAAAATATGTGGTGAAAAAAGGGCCAAATTTAGATGGTTGAGCTTCACCAATGAATGCATTTTTTTAATTTTAAGTAATAATTATAATGAGAACGCGCCGAAAGTAATACGAATTGAATCAATTCTAAATATGTTGCTGATAACAGCAGAAAATTACCCTCCCTTCAAGATGTTGGCGTGACACTGTTGCCAGGTCTAGAAGGATGAGAGTTATATGGCGAGGTTGGTGAAGCTCTAAAGTAGGACTTTATCTCTGCTCTGACGTGTTCATAGACATGTTGGACAAATAGGCTGAAATCTGAGTCACAAATATTTTTCTTCAAAAATCTTTGAGGAAAAACAAGACTCCTTTACTGTTTACATGAACACTTTGATTGATGAGATATGTGATGAAACTGAGAATATCTTATCTCCAAATGTCCAAGTGCAAATACTGCAGTTTCCATTGATGTAATGCTGATGTTTTTACTGGCGTTCTTTTTATTCCAGAGGTCAGCCAGAGGTTTCCAACCACTCATTCAAATGGGAGGCAGATCATGCTAACCTACCTCCTTCCCTGGCTCGGTAACATTGAACTGGTGGATAATGGTTTGCTGCTTCCCGTCTTAACACCAACAATCCCCATCTATGAGTCCTCCTGTGAGCTGGCCAGCACAGATTCCTCTCTACCGCTAAAAGGGACTGGCTGGGGATCTCTGCAAGCCACATCAATGGTTCTCAATAACCTAATGTTCATGACAGCCAAGGTACATATTGCTGCAATGTTTAATATCAAGCTATATCTATGAAGTTAATAAAATTGTATATATTTTTTTGTTTGTTTTTTTTATCCTAGTATGGAGATGATCTACCTGGACCAGAGATGGAAAATGTCTGGAATGCTTTAGTCAGCAATGAGAAATGGAGCAACAATCTGAGAACCACCCTGCAGTTCATTATCAGCCTGTGTGGTGTCAGCAGTGACACCCCCCTTCTCCCATACGTAAGATCTTCAGGTCTGCTGGAAAATATCAGAATCCTCTCTTTCTTTACAATTCCCCTGAATGGTCTCTTCTTTATGTGTCCAGATCAAGAAGGTGGTCATCTATCTTTGCCGAAACAAGACAATGCAAACCATGGAGGAGTTATTATTTGAGTTACAGCAAACAGATCCTGTCAACCCTGTGGTACAACACTGTGACAGCCCTCCTTTCTATCGCCTCACTGCCACAAGCAAAACCTCTGCTGTGGCTTCAGGTCATTTTCTTTATTATTCTATCTGTAAACCACTCCACAAAATGTAAAAAAGAAAAAAAATACATTTTCTATCCTTTTTAAATGTATTATTTAACTCTGAGCAGTGCTTGTAAAACTGGGTTTTAATCATTTCATTTATTATTTTAGTAAATTTTATCACATAAATATTATTCTCAGCCACATATTAATTACATTATATAAGTTTATTACACACAGATATTTTCATTGGGACTGGTTACGCTAAAAAAACGCACAACACAAGCCAAGTACCAATTTCCCTATTTATATTTTTCTTGGTCTTTCGCATCGAGAGAAGTTGGTTCATAGATATTTTATCTTAAGGTGAATGTGGTAATAAAGCCAAAGAAAAAAGTTTAAACTGAAGCAAAAGTTTAATGAATATCTTGGACCTCCCAGAAAGTGTATTTATCAACTGATAGTTTTGTTGATTGAATGTTAATTTACTGATTTTTTTAACTCATAAACTGAAATATCATTTAACTGACCTAGACTAAATATGTTGTTGATTGGGATCCTGTTGGACTGATTCATAGAGAAAAATGAGTTGAACAGTTATGTTGTGTTAAATGTTTTTTTGTTTTTTGTTTTCCAGAGGAGATTTTCAAGATACGAAAAAAATAGGGGGCTGCTAATATTGTCAAAAAATATAAAATATATATATCTTCATTAAGTCTAAACCAGCTAGAACTTCTCATACGTACTGAAAAATCCCATCACATTTTTAAATGGCTCAGCTTAGCTGTTTTATTGCCAGTCATTATGAATTGTTTGCTTTGGACAAATTCCCAGTGTTTTTTGAGCATGTTATAAAAAATAAAAAATGTCCACTTATATTTCTTACCTCAGGGACCACATCAAGCAGCAACACCATTGTAGCTGGCCAGGAAAACTTTCCTGAGACAGATGATATAAAGTCCATAAAAGAGAGTGAAGAGAGGTGAAATTTCTATTGATTTCCTAAATCATTTGATAAGAGACAATAAAATCATTGACAAGACTTAAGTTGATTATACATATGCTTTTTTTTTGGTGTCAGGCTTGGTCACAAAATGAGAGCGCACAACCGACTGGAGTCACGTTACAGTAACAGTTCAGGAGGATCTTATGATGAAGAGAAAAGTAAGTGTTACAAGTGATTGAGTGAATCTGGCAAGAAAGAACTCTCTATTATGCAACTGAGAATGAATAAGCAGTTTGCAGAGGCCTTGGGGTTTTTAAAGGGTGGCTTTATGCAATTGAATACAAGGAGCAAAGCCAAGGGCCTCTGCATCACTATAACTGGCCCCTGCAACACTAAAACTAAAAACTTATAGAAAAAAAAAAAAAGTAAATTCTTACAGTTTATGGTAACATTCGGATGATCAGGATGTTTTGTGACTTACACTCAAATGCTGCTCATTTTTAACATGTGGTGGATGCTGAAATAATATCCTGTGACTACTCAGGTGAACCTCTGCCACCTTATGTGGATTGGCTGACATTTGTTATTGAAACAAATAAGCCCCACCCTCTGCCAATGCCACTCAATGGAGGATGCTGGGCACCACTGGTGGACTATTTACCAGAAACCGTCACTCCCAGAGGACCATTGCACAGGTAAATGAATTTATCTTTCTCTCTTCAACAGTCTGCACAGTTTTTTATACTGTAGAATAAGTTTCCACATATCTGAATATGTTTAAATTTATATTGTGTATATTTTGTGTTTACTTAAGGTGTAATGTCGCAGTCATCTTCATGACAGAGCTGGTTGTTGACCACGGTGTGCGAGAGGACTGGAACTTGCACCTGCCTTTAATCCTCCATGCTCTGTTTTTGGGTAAATTATATGGAATTGTATTGTAAACACGTTAAATTCAGATTTTTCAAATTTGATCACACCACAACCACAAACTTTATTTTATTTTTCTTTAAATTGATAGTGCTAACATGAGATATTAGTTCTTTTTCAAAGGGAAAATAAAATTATATATTTTTGGTATGGTTTTGCTCAAAAAATAATCTGTAAGAAGCATTTGTTTGTAATACCGCCTCTATTTACACTTTTTTTTTCAAAAATATCTTAAGCTGACTCAGAATGGGTGAATAGTTTCTGTGAACATCTAAGATATGTCCTATATTGTCAGTTGGACTTTTGATGTTAACTTTGACTCTTTGTCATTGTACCTCAAAAATCCATCCATCCATTTTCCATCAAACTTTATCCTAGCTGGGGACACAAGGGGTGCTGGTGCCTATCTCCAGCTGTCTACGGGCAAGAGGCGGGGTACACTCTGGACAGGTCGTCAGTCCTTTGCAGGGCAACACAGAGACAAACAACCTTTCACAATCACACCTATGGAGAATTAAGAAAAGCCAATGAACCTAACAGTCATGTTCTTGAACTGTTGGAGGAAGCCAGAGTACCCAGAGAGAACCCACACATGAACAGGGAGAACATGCAAACTCCAAGCTGAAAGACCCCAAGCCAGGAATTGCACCCCGGAATCTTCTTACTGCAAAGCAGCAGTGCTACCCACTGCGCCACTGAGCAGCCCTACCTCAAGCATACTTTAATTTAAACCATTTCACTGTAGCTCAGGTAGTATCTTTAGGGTTGTTTTCCTGCTAGAAGAAAGACTTTTGCTCAGTGATCGTCCCGTATTTAGTTCTATTCAATATTGGATCAACTGTGATCAGCGTCACTGTCCTTGGTATCCCTGTTCAATAATGCAGCGATAATCAAGTTTCCCCTTCATGGTGCTTTTGGGTCAGGGAGATGCGTAGTGGTATTTTTCTGCCACATAAGATTTTTATGTTTTGGCAAAAAACTTTTCCACATGTTGTCTAAATTGTAGGACAATTGACCTGATTTTAAAACATTTGCAAGACACTGCAAACCAACACAACTGATCTTAGTATTTACTTTCCAGGCCTGGATCACTATCGCCCAGAGGTTTTTGAGCACAGCAAACGTCTCCTCCTTCACCTCCTCATCACATTGTTTGGTAACAACGACAACTTTCAGGCTGTTGCATCAGTTTTACTGCAGACACGGGAAGTTAATGTCATCAAGACCCTCACTTGCAAATCCAGCCTTCAGATGGAATATTCACCTGCAGGTAGAAATGTCTGTCTGGTAACACTATTCACCTTTAGTCAACTTTCTTAACTATGAGCAAGTTCAAACTCTACTGGAAGGCAGAAGTCGGACTTTTTATAAACATGGACATCAGGAGGGGATGGCTTGCATTCTTTGAAGACAATAGATAAGTTTCTTATCTTAGGGGGAAAACTATTTGGACACAGTGCCAAAAACAATACAGAGTGCATAGGACATCAAAGGTCTTGATTAAAGCATTCCATGTGGCTATTTATATCCACTTGCTGAAATGTGAGTCATCTGCTTGGACTTTAGTTGGTTCAATGACCGCTAATAGTTTGTTTTCAAAATGTCTAGACATTGAGAACTCATATTCTGTGCTTTGCAAACTTACTGGGAATTTTGTTCTCCATAATTGTTTGCAAAAAATATGCATCTTTAAAAAAAAACCTGTGCATTTAGATAACTGTAGGTAATTAAATGTGAGTGAACAAGACTTATTAGTAATATGTACCAAATATGGCTGAATGTAGCCTTGCTGATCAGTGTTATCTGTTCTCTAATATTCAATCAATGAATAAAAGATTGTTTAAACTGAAAAAAAATGTATTTATATGAGTTTATCCTCTGTTTTTTTTTAGGTGGCTGTGATTTCCTGCGGGAGTGTCAGGCATCTCCGGTGCCGGACTCTGGTCTGAGCTCTTCCTCCACCTCCTCCAGCTTGAGTCTGGGAAGCAGCAGCAGCAGCAACCTGCCAGAGATCACACAAGACATGGAGGAGTTTGTCAGCTCCTGCAAAATGAATGAGAAAAGCAATAAGCTAATAGAGTTTTTAATAACAAGGTAACTAGCATGATATATTATTCCTCTTTGTATTGAAGTAACTGAAATGTATTACAGGCAAAGTGCTGCTGTACAGCCTACAGTAGAATCAGCCTCATTATGTTTCTAGATCTAGGGCTCCATCTAGTGGTGGGGATTATTTAGTGCACTTTTTGTATGTGTAAAACGTTTCCTTTATGCAAGTCTTATATTCATAAGAACTTTTCAAGAAAGTACTTTAAAGAGACATTTTATGCAAAAGTTTTTTTTTTAGTTAAGTGCTTTTAGTTAGTGTTGACCTTCAAATACAAAGATGTTAATGTATACAGAAGATATTTTCTTGTTATATAAAACATCTTTAAAAGTTTTTTCTTCATTTAGGGTTGCCTAAAATCTTTCACAAAAAATGACACTGCATTGTCTATAAAAAATATATATATATTTAAGAAAAAGCACCGATTTGGTACACCAGGAGAACAGGTTAATTCTAAATGACGCTCTTAAAATTTTGGCTGACATCTCATTCACGTTCAAATGATATTCTGGGACACAACTTGATGTTCCTCTTTTACCTAACAGATTTTTTGCTCTTATTTTAAGGATCAAAATCATCCAGTGACTTTTAATCAAAACATAGCTCAGAAAAAACATCTTTTAAACTTTGCTTGACACAGCAAGCTCTTTAAAGATTAAACACCTAAAGAGTAGAAAACAGCTGACCCCCAAATTTTTGGAAAATTGAATAAATTTCTATGGGTTGGTAGGAAGACCCTGTTTTATGTCACAGATTTGTACTCCTTTCAGATCCCTTTTCTACAGAAAATAATAAGTTTGTTGATTCTCTCTGTATTTAACTAATCGCCTTGGGGAGTAGTGGGCTACCATTGTGCAGCACCTGTGGAGCTCGTGGGGTTCAGGGTTTTGCTCAGGAACCCAGAGTGCAGGCTGTGTTGATCCAATTGAGTACTTGGAACCTTCTCAGAGCACAAGTGCTCAGTTCTAACCACTAGGCCAACACTCCCTAGTAGTTGAACTAGTAAAGATTAAAAACAAGTTGTTGGTTTTTTTCTGTGTAATTAAAGAAAACACACTTCTTGTCAAAGTCGAAACACCGCTGTTTTATAAAAAATGTTTTTTAAAAACTTTCAGCAGGTCCACCATAAAAAGGGATTAATTTTGCCTCTTTTTAATAAAAAATGTTTTGTATTTTAAAGACCATATGGACCACTGTGGTGTCATGAAGACATTTCCCCAAAGAGCCAAATTTCTAAAAGCACTGGACAACTGACAAACTTCTTGAGGCATGTGATTTCTGTTTTTAAGGAGCACAAGTCAGGTAATTGAGTCTTAACCATTTTCCATGTGTGTGTATAGATCTGACTTGGCAGCTGATTTACTCTTACTGTTCTCTGTCCTGGTTTTAGATAACTTTTTGGAGCAGCAGCTTAGTGAGGTGGCCCTGCAGACGGCTCTGTGTAGTTCATCCCGGCACTACGCCAGTCGGTCCTTTCAGGTTTTTAGAGCCCTTCGTCAACCCATTTCTGCTAACGCCGTTTCAGACCTGCTTTCGAGGCTGGTGGAAGTCATTGGTGAACACGGAGAAGAAGTCCAAGTAAGCATGTGCACTTGTAGTATTTTGTAAATGATTTGATTAAAACTTTGAAAAAGGCTATAAAAGATTCAGGAGGGTAGAAATGTGTGTTTGGAAAAGTCTTGAACTGTTAAAGAGGTTTGTCTTTAGAATTGATTTCTGTCTGTTTCTCTCAGGGATACGTAATGGAGGTATTACTCACTCTGGAATCTGTTGTGGACAACTTGGCCGATTGCCTGAAAAACAATGATCTCATGGCTTTCTTCACAAGGTTTGTGTCTCCTCCTTAAAGAATTATGTTTCAAATTGTGTTGTGTTAAATAATCAGTGGGTTTAATGTATTGTTTTGATTTTAAGTAGTGTTTATTGAATTACAGAGAATCCTCTCCAGATTTCCTCACAAGTTTTAAACAGAGGTTGAACAGAAAGAGCACAGGGCAGCTTGGCCCCCGGAGAGACGAACAGAGCAGGCATCAGAGGAGCTCTTCTGTCCCAAAAAAGTTTGGAGAAGCCGACAGAAGTTCTGATCTTCCTCGCAGTGCCACTCTGGACCGCATCCAAGCCTGTGAACAACAAGTTCAGTTAGCCAGGATGCGCCGCTCCTCTTCATCCAAAGACAACAAAAATGACCCAATGAGCATAAACCACCCCAGCAACTTGCTGGCCACCATCTTCTGGGTTGCAGTGTCGTTGATGGAGTCAGACTTTGAGTTTGAGTACCAGATGTCTCTGAGGCTGCTGAATAAGCTGCTGGCCAACATGTCGCTGGACAAGCAGGAATACCGGGAGAAGCTGGAGAATCTCCAGAGCCAGTTGAATTGGAGCAGCTTCACTGGGCTACAGCAGCTTCTGTTAAAGGGCTTCACGTCTACATCCACCACTGACATCACGCTTCAACTCTTCTGTCAACTCACACCTGTGTCCAGGGTTCCTGTAGTAGATACATCACAAGCCATAGGTAAAATCAGTGGAGAACTTTGTGATTTTGAAAACCCAACTATTATTCTAAACGAGTCCATGAAAAACCTTTCTTTTTTGTTTTGCCTGTTAGGTTTTCCCTTGAACGTTCTCTGCTTGCTCCCACATCTGGTGCAGAACTTTGATGCACCATCACCTTTTTGTCAGGACGTTGCTGAGAAGATAGCTCAGGTTTGGTTTTATTCATTTTTCTACTTCCATTTATAGAAGACGTTTACATCCACTCAACATCTACATGGTTTTTATATGTATTTCAGCACTTAAATATACATTTGATCTGTTTTTATTTAGGGATGATTACACAACAAACAACTGAAAGCAGTACGACAAAAACACTTGGTTATAACTATTTGAATTTACTATAAATCCACACAGGGTGGAAATTATGCATACAGGCTAAAATATGAATATACCCATTAACTGCTATTTAGTTTGATTATTTGGTCATTTGATTTCCTGACACAGACTTAGCTTTAAAACATAGTACAATAATTTTAATAGGGTCGAAGCTTAGTCTATTCAGAAGTATAGCCATCTTAATTCTTTCCAAAACAAGTTAGGAAATATTTTTTTGAACGTTGTTTTTCAAGAACACCCAGTAGTTTCCAAACATTATCTAGCTCTTATTTCAAAGTGAAGTTGAAGAACAAGAACATATTTAAACATATCAAACTCTTTTTCAGATAGACAATAGCCTAATACTGTATTTTCAGTTTCCAGCTTATAATTGCCTTAAGCTATGGGTTGTTTCAAAACCTCTTAGGCCATTTCCTGACATTGGAGAAAACACTTTGGTTAAGGTGAGGGAAGCTAGGTCACATTTTGGTTTCTAAACATGACAGTCAGTCTAAAACTGACTTTATGGTAGAAAAAATTCGGACTAACAAGACGGCTTTTATCACACCTCACTGTAATATATAAACAATGCTGGATACATGCTGGAAATGAACCAATTCTGATAAGAAGGTTGGTCACAATCTATATATAATAAGACTGCTTTTCTTTGACATATATTCAGTTATAGATAGACTTAATTAATACATGTAGGCCTGTATGTTTTTTTTTTTAATTCTGTTTGGAAATTTATCAAAGGATTGATAGTTGAGCACCTTCCTTAAACTTGTATTTCATGATCATTCTCCAATTAACATAAACAGCACTGAATGCATCATTAAATGTATAAAACAGTACATTTTAACATTAATTGAGCTGTCCTGCTTTGTTTTCTGAAGTTGTGCCTAGAGGAGAAGAATGCCAAGTTATCCAACCTTGCTCATGTCATGACTCTGTATAAAACCCACTCCTACACACGAGACTGCTTCTCTTGGGTCAACGTGGTGTGTCGGTATCTCCATGAGGCTTTCTCAGACATCACTCTGAACCTGGTCACTTACATGGCAGAGGTCTGTGCAGCTGGCCTACCTTTCCATCAACCACTATCACCTAACTTCACTGCTCTGTTAGCTGAATGTTTTATTTGTGTTACAGCTGTTGGAAAAGGGACTACCCTGCATGCAGCAGACACTGTTACAGATAATCTACAGCCTTCTGAGTCACATGGAGCTGAGTGGAATTCAAGCCAAACCCTTCAACATAGAGGTCCTCAAGACAATTGAAAAGTTTGTGCAGGTAAATGGCAGAATTATGGAGCTCGTTGAAATTTTCTAGGAATGTAAGTGTTAACCCAATGGGGCCACTGATCTCTATTTATTCAAATGGATTGCTGATAGGCCTAAAAAAACTGAGGTCACCCACCACCATCTTGGTACTCCCCACTTTTACAGAGTTGTGCCATAAAAAATGCAATTGCAATGTAATTAAATTACTGTGACATTGTGATCAATACATTTATATTATATGTACATAATTAATGTAGCAATTTGGCACCTCATCAGATAGTGTGTGTGGGAGGGGGCTTGTTGCAGTATCAATATGCTCCATTAACGCACTAATAATGTTGTGATGGATTTATATAATATGTTATATTGCATGATTTACAGACTTCATGGACTTCATACTAAATATGCAATGTGATGTGACAATTTTACATTAATCTTCTGATTTCTGATACTATGAAACAGCAAGTGTGTGTCAAAGTGATGACTTTATCTTTATTTTAAAAGTCTTAAGCCACCCCCTCGAAAATGAGAACACCATTGTCTAACTAGAGAATATCAAAATGGCGGCTGGTGACCCAGTGAGTACATAGAGATCAGTGAACGGGGCCCAGTGCCTAACCTTCACATTTTGTCACAATTCAATCATAACATTCTTCACCATTTTCCCATCAACCCTGACAAACTTTCCTGTCCCTGCTAGAGAAGAGCATCCCCACATCATAATATTAACACCACCATATTTCACTGTGTAAACGTTTGCTTAGATTGGTTGACTTCATACATTCCCTTTCATTTGCAAAAAGAATTACAAAAAAAAATCAGAATTTTCCTTCCATCAATCATGTGCTGCAGTGTTTTCCATCAGAACAAAAATCATAACAGAATACATAGATATGTTAGGTCGTAAAGTAAAATCTGAAGAGGTTTTGGGAGAGTAAACTATTTTTTTGCAAGAGGCTGTATAAAGAGGAAAGACTGAGAGGATCTGGGCTCTCCGTTCCTCCTGTAAGTGCTCATAAAAAAAGGGGAGAAAAAAGCTGCCTGTGTGTCAGAGTAGTAAATTTGTAGACACACCCAGACTATAAACAGGCTGTTTCTGGCCAGGCCTCTGTTTATTCTCATGCTGTATCTCATTTCAAGCTAACACTTCTGGTTTTTAAATAGAAAGGCATAAAACACAAAAAACAAGACCTTTGATGATATTTTTATTCATGTTTGGAAGGTAAAATATCACATACTTGTGTGTTTTTTCTATAGACGGCCCATTGGAGGGAGGCGTTGAATATCTTGAAGCTGGTGGTTTCTCGATCGGCTAGTTTGGTGCAGCCTTCACTACAACAAAGTGACTTCTCCTATGAAGACATCAGCCGCATTTGGGATCGCTCTTCCAAAGCCTTACCCGGAAAAACACTGGATTTTCAATTTGATATCTCTGAGGTGGAGCACACTTTCTTCTCTTTCCTTTTATTAACATAATTTGAAAGTCTATTTTTAGCCTTGCTTCCCCATCCTCTCTATTCCTGCTGCTTGTTTAAGTTCTTACTTTTTTTTCTCCAAAATAAATATTTCTGACCGTTCTTTATTGCTTGATTTTATTATTCACAAATTCCCTTGAGAGCACTTAAGCTGGTAAATACAATTAGCCTAGAAGAACAGAGCTAAAGATTGATGTGCAGGGTGTGTGGGAACAGAACAGAGAGCTATTTATGTCGCTTATGAATGGCAGGAAATGATGTCATGTTTTTGCAGCAGCTTTTTTTTCTCTGTTTTGAGAACCATGTAGGTCTATTAGCTATTCACACTCTGTTTGGCTTATGGTTATAGGAATGATCAGAATAGCCATGTTCTTAGAAAATAAGGTCTTAAATGGAACAAAAAACGAGACATTTTTTGTTTAAAATGTTCCTGAAGAGTTATTTACAGTTACTCAGAATTTCTTTGAGTCCAGGCAAAGGGGATCTTTCCATGCAGCCCAAGTCTCGGAGTGTCCAAGCAGAGGATTTCTTCTTCTCCTTCATGCTTCCCTAGACTGAATATCGACTGCTTCTGTCTTTGTTTTCTTGTAGACGCCAGTGATTGGTAGGCGTTATGACGATCTCAAGCGCTCCATGGGTCATGATGTGAAGAGCACGACCACAGCTGTGACCCATAGCACTTCCTCCACCTCTTCGGGATCCAATGCCAACAACGTCCTGGTTCCAGTCAGCTGGAAAAGACCTCATTCTTCACAGGTCAGAAAGCTATCCTATTACCAGAGAGGTTACCCTAAAAATTGGTTTCAGAGATAATTTTCATATCCTTTACTCCGGTATAAAATAAGAAAAATATAAAGTTTGCATGGTAATATTATGAATAATTTGAGCAGTCTGTAGGCATTTTAAGGTGCTCAGTGATTTATTCTTGATCTAGGATTTATTTCAGTGCCAATCTGTGAAATATAAGTCAAATAAGATTCAACTGAAAGAAATGTCTGTGCTCTTCCTCTGCAGAAACGAACAAGAGAAAAGCTGGTGCATGTATTGTCCCTTTGTGGCCAGGAAGTGGGACTTACAAAAAATCCTTCGGTAAATGTAATTTATAAAAACACTTTAAAATACTTTTTTTTTTTCCTTTATGGAATCAAATGTGACATTGACAAATATCTTGGCAGGTTATTTTCTCTAGTTGTGGAGAACTGGACCTGATTGAACACCAGCCTAGCCTGGTGTCCTCTGACGAGGGAACACGCGAACTGGAAAACATGGACGACACCACCTCAGAGCAGCAGTTCAGAGTTTTCAGAGACTTCGACTTCCTGGATGTTGAGCTTGAAGATGGAGAGGTGAGTCACCATGGGAATGACTTTGAAGAACTTGTGGGCAAAGCAGACCACCATGCACATACTGTGTTAAGTTAGTCCTGTCTGCTGTAAGTAATGCAGATTCTGTTTTTTTGTTTTTTTCCTTGTTTATGCTATCTAGGAGCTGCAGGTAAGTTTACTCGTGTTGCATTATTGTTTGTTGTGCTCTGAAAAGATAAATGTTTTCCAGTATGCATAGCTTAGCTGCCACAATGATGGCAGAAATACTGTACAGATTGTTCATGCATGCTTTTGTCAATTTAAAAACCTCTTTCTGATCACTCAGTTGAATGTATTCAAAGCTAATAAAAGAAATGTTTTTCCATTTTTCTTTTTTTTTTCTTTTTTTCTTCATTTTAAAATTGTTTTTACTAAAGAATATGTTTAAGGGAAATTGGAGATTTGATTTCATAGCAAACCGTTCTGATACTTTTGATTTTTTTTTGGAACTGGTCAAGATGGCTAAATATTTTAAAGGCCTTTTGACTTAAAATACAATCTGTTTTAAATATTTAAAATGGTTTAATTTGGATGGACTGGAATACTTGCCTCTTAAGCAAAGTTCTTTTAAATATATGTGTAGGCTCATAACGGTCTGAATCCCCACTGTTGATTTTGCACTATACTTGCATGTACATGATGTGTTAAACATAAAAGTGCTGCCATCTGTATCTTAATACGTTTGAATACATGACATTTTACTCTTGCAGAGCGAGACTGTGGATAACTTTAACTGGGGTGTGCGTCGGCACTCTATGGACAGTTTGGACCAAAGTGACTTGCAGCCTCTTGAGGAGAGTCAGTTGTCCAGCAGCATGCCAAGCCTCAGCAAAATTACCCATGAAGACTCTGAAGAATCATCTGAGGAGGATTCCCTTACAGCCAGCCAGATACTTTCCCACTCTCAGATTGTACGTTTTATTAATAATATACCAATCATTTCAAATCTTAATGAACAAAGGGCTGTTTATCCTTCTGTTTGTTTCTAGTATGTATCAGAAAAAGAGACCTCAGAATAGTTAAAAAAAAATATTCAGATTTCTCTTTAAAAGCAGTAGTTTCCATGTTTCCGATGTATTGCTATTGTTTTTGCTTGTCACACTTATTCCATATCAATAAAAAAATCCATGTGAGACAAAAATAACCCAATTAGATATAAAATCCCTTAAATCTACACAGCAAAAAAAATGAAATCTATTAAATCTAAATCTAATAGTCATAGTTCTTTTTTATTAAATAAGTGCATGTTGTCTTGAATTGAGGTGATAAGTGAGACTCCTTGCCAATGGAACAAGACAAATTACATTTAAAATTAGAAAAAAACAATTGCATTGTCTTATTTCGAGTGCACATTGTCTAATTATGTTATTTTAAGAGTAAAAAAAATCTCTTTCATTTGGCAAATCCTCCTATTTACCTGCTCAACTCACAGGTAAATAGGCATTCATTTAAGACATTTTTAATTATTTGTAGATCGTTTTTGCAGTGTAATAACCAGTAGGCCCAGTGTGGGTGAAGAGGCGACCATCAAGTATGTGCTATAATTGACAGTAATTGTGTAAAATAGAAGGGTTTTTGAACTTAAATAACCTGTTAAGACAGCAGAATCTCAATCCGTCTGAAATCCTCCTTCAATTTGAACCAATTAGAGGTGACCTTGCTGGTCTGCTATGGATTCTGCAGCATTGCTCAAGTGTCGTTATTTCTTAAGTTCACCAACCAGGGCCTGATTTTTTTTACTCTTCTGGCAAGAACATGGAGATCATGGGTTTAGCTTTCAAGCCCTTGAGGATGTTAGGAATCTTAGTTAATTCATCATAATTAGAAATACTAAACATAAACAGCAGTGTCTGAGTGAATTTCCGAAGGAAAAATAATTACGTTTTTTTAATTTTCAGATCCAACCTAATCCATAAGAGACAGATGGAAACTCAAACAAATACAACCATGCAACTTTGTAACTTTTATTAAATTTATCCTTCTTTTTATCATCTCCTGATTAATTTGCTGCTTCGCCAGTTTTACATATTATTTTCTGGTAAATGGCATCTTTTTTCTCCTGATATCGCTGCACAGGATTTAAAATGCGCAATTTCAAAAGTGATAGAATATAAGGTTTTAATGTTCTGAAATACTAAATCTTTCGAATAAATGCTCACTGGAGTTTTTTAAGGCACTGAATGATAAAACAGTTTTAAATTCCCTTCATTGTTTTTTTTCTGTTTTTCAGACTGTCAGCCTTTCTCCAACCCCAGAGATCAGTAGCACGGATACTCCCTCCTCTGCTTTTGACACACCCTCAGCAAATTCAACCCCTCTGGGCTCCAAAAATCCCAGTTTCGAGGTCCAACTGTCAGAGGACTCGAAGCAGCGGGTGAATAAGGGATTCAGAGTGTCTGAAATCTTCGGAAACACTAGTTCCCATCCTAGTTCCATCCTGGAATTCTTTACTAATTTTGCTAAATAGGAGCTTTACTGTTAAATTCCTTTATGTAATGTCTTAAGCTGTAAATGTGCTTTGGGTTCAGTTTCTGTTACATACTACTGCATGTTTTTTGGGTCAGTTATTTCTACTTTTCCTGTCTTCAAAAAAGCATGAGCTGATTTAAATTAATCAAAGACTGCATGCTAAAAATATTCAACTAAAACCTAGATCAGGACATTCTACAATTTTCATGGCTGGGGGCTAGCTTGTGCTTTGGTTTATTCCTGGCAGAAATAGTTCAAGATACTAAAGGGTTAGTGAAAATAATCTTTCCTTTCCTTTTGTCTGTTTGAGGCAATGTGTATACCTTCTGCTTCTGTGTCGGTGGCTCTGAGCTACGTCTAAAAACCTCTTGGCATGTGGATGTTTAGGAAAGGTTTACACATTGCCTGTCTGGAAACACGAGCGCAGGGCCACAATGATGGCTGGGTTAAATAATTCCTTACTTTTTTCATCAATTGGCCAACATTTTGTGCACTAAATTTACAAGATTAAAGAAAACATCAAATGGAGAGACCATAGGGTCCCAGTGCAAGGTTAGTGGATTACTTTTAAGCAGGAAATTGTTTTTTTAATAAAGAATTATAACTGAGGGAATATGGATAAATGTATGCATACATTTCAATATTTATTTTCAGTTTTATTATAGCTGCTGTCAGGGTTGACAAAGGTCCTGTCCGTCTCTTTTTTTCCAGCATGAAGCTTCACAAGATGATGAAGATAGTAACGTACATGAGGACAACCTCTTTCTCTCTATGGACGAACTGCCCCCTGAATATCAATATGGGGAAAATTCAAGCATCAGTGTAGCGTTTAATGATTACAAAGAAGAGCTGGACCTGAACTGCTGCTTACCCAGGTTCACAATCACAACTTTAGTCAACCATAAATGTTCAGTTTATGTTTAAAAATGATTTAATTTGCCCTGTTTATGTTTAGTCTTCCTGAAGAGGAGAAAGACGACACGTTGGAGTTGCGTTCTTCACCTCCACCATCGCCCTTCTTCTCTGCCATCCTTGCCGCTTTTCAGCCGAAAGTGTGCGACGATGCAGAGGAAGCCTGGCGAAGTCACATCAACCAGCTTGTCTCAGACTCAGATGGCTCCTGTGCAGTTTACACTTTTCAAGTGTTTTCGTCACTGTTTCAGGTATAATGGCCTCATCATGTCTGGATCATTTAAATGTATTTTTTTTTAGACCATTTGGAACTGATCAGTGTTCCTAAGGTGAAAACAGTGCGGCTGGAACAAAAATACAACCAGGAACAACAGTAGTAGGAAATTATTAAATAAGTTAATGAAACAAGCCTCTAAATTTAGAATCAATGCAGTACAAATGGATGCGTGAAGGCATAGAGGGAAAAGGATTACCAAATAACGTGCTTAATGAGGTTGAAGTTTTATTAGGCTACTTTATGTTTAATTTTCATAAAATCAACAGTCACCGTAATTCAGAGATGGCAAAAGTACTCACTTTCCGTACTTGAGTAAAAGTACAGATACTTGTGTTAAAAAATACTCTGGTAAAAGTGGAAGTACTG